CTGGTTCGTGGCTTGAGTGTGCTGTGCGACCAGCATGCTGGCTGGCGCACTACTGTCTGAGGGGTTGTCGACGTGGCAGATGCCACGTGTTATCTTCGTGGCTGCTGCCACGTAGTATTGCTGCTGAGATGGAAGGCGCTGGGCGCCTATATTGCTGTTCTGCTTGACAAGTATTCGGAAGAAGGATCCAGGACTGTGGTTTGGGTCGTGATACGTACCTGGTGTCTTCAACTTCGTCGTCACGTTGCTGCTTGATGACTGATCTGCTGGAGCCACGTGGCACTATTGTTCTACATTGTCTTGGATATCCGGATCTCTGATTGAGACATGATTATGCGGTTAGAAGGAGGAAGTGCCCGAAGAGGAAGTGGGCTGTAGGGAGGAGACTCTTCCACCCTCTCAAAGTCTGTTCTCCCTCCTCCCTCTCTCGTCTGTGTATGCATTCTCTCTCATTTTGGGATCATTATTATTATGATTTATCAGCAGCGCTCGTCTATTTTGTCTTTGCGAGTGACGACTGATTATCACGACTGGGCACATTGCAGTTTGGTATCGGAGCATTCACTTCCGACATTGTCTTCACGGCGCACGCGTTGTTCTGACGCGCTATGATTACAACGCGTCAGTTTCCAAGGTCGCGCGCGCCAGGTAAGTAAGTGACGGGATACTCTCTCTTTCGCRACATTATTGTCGCGCGTGTTTTTCAACACGCTGTCTAGACATTGAGCCCGAMGACGTGCGCGACAGGCATGGTGATGACGGGCAGATTATCTGCCAATGATGATTGATTGCTGACGTGGCACATCCACGTCCATTGAAGATTGGAGCAGGGAACTTCTACTCATGCGCTGATGATGTCTCGCCGACAATATAGAGTTGCCACATTGCTATCTCGCCAGCCAGATTGGAGCTGATTGATTGGCTCCTTGATTACTCGCTGGCATTGGCGAGATCCGGCGCTGACGTGGCAGACTTGATTGAACTTGAGATGCGGCGAGAAGATTTGTGAAGCGCAGCATTGTTGGAGTTCACCTTCACGAACGGATCTGGGTAACGGAAAGAAGTGAAGCGGCCAGCATTCCTCGCTGAAGCCACCCCCCCCCCCCCACGATCTTGATTGGTTCAACGTGCTGACTTGGCGAAAGCTGAGTTGGCATACCGGGGGTTGGCTGACGCAGGCACAACCTGCCTTGGGAAACGATTGATGCATTCCGACACTGGGAGCGGCATGAGCAATAGACTCTGACTTGTGGTGTTTACCTGCTGTTGGGGTGATTTGAGTGCATGCTGACGTGGCCTTGTGTGAGGGGAAGACTGACGTTGATTGGTTGGATGCTATCGACCTAGGCCTGCTCGATTACCTGGAAATAAAGACGTCACACGAATAAGAGAGAAAAACAAATCAGAACAGCATATCAATCAAGAAAATAATAAATTATTTTTATTTATTTATTTTCTTGTGAATTCTTTGCTGTACCGATATTGAGTTGCTSGCCAGTTATCAATAATATTGTCTGTTTTCTTTTATTGAGTAAGATTGGCCTGTTAAGTTTCCTGTTGACGTTAACCATGGCACCRATTGTTCAACACATGCGTCAGTCTCTGCTGACCAGGTGGGTGCCTCATCTGTTCGGTCTTGGGCACGTGCCTTATGCGGTGGGAGCAGGTAGCTCTTCGATAGAACCACGTACACGTGCCCAGATCGAGGCACGAAGAGGTGAATTGGGAGAACTTCTCTCCCAGCTGCTGGTGGACATGGAATTCGTTGTCCCGGCCGCAAGAGAACACATCCGTGGTAAGTTTGACCTTGAAGTGATTTCTGATCGCTTGGCCAAAGCTACCGTGAGTGTAGAGATGGTGGCGGCAGCAACAGAGATCCATAAAGTCATTGCCCAGTGTCGTGAGATACTGGACCAGTTCACCATCCAGCAGTTGGACGAGATTGCCCAACGGAAAGATACCATGCCAGAAGTAAAGATAGAAAGTATTGAAGAGCACATACAACAGTTGAAAGAGACTCGCAAAAGAAGAAAGGAAGCGGGAAGAGCTGTTGCAAAGAAAAGAACAGGAAACTAGGTTGCAACAGAGAATGGGTAGAGTTCAGCAGCACGTTTCCTTAGATGAAAAAGATGTTGCTCAGACGCTCGAACAAATATTGACGTATTTGGCTTTTCTTGAAGAAAAGTTAGACCAACAGCAATCTAGAATGGATGAATTCGCTGTTGGCCTTCATGTCATTACTAACATTGTCAAGGGGAAAGCCCCTATGCTTGAAAATGATGAAGAGAAAAAAGATAAAGAAAGAAGAGCGGACGTCAAGCCCGAGAAGTTGMTTATTGGTGGAATGAAAAACAACGACACAACGAAGAAGGAAACGGTAAAAGAAACCGAGAAGAAACCGGAAGAGAAACCGGAAAAGAAACCCAACAGGAATAGTGATGGAAACGAAAATGGAGACGTGAATGGAAACGGGAATGGTGGTTCCAACGGTCCCACTCCCCCTCCTAAGAACAATGCCAAACCCGCAGATCCGACTAAGCCAAGGAAAAAAGAAAAAGTGAAGATGAAATTACCTTTCACTTTTTCTAAAAAGAAATCAGAAAGCCTTCCACTCTGGATCGCAGAGATCCAGACCTATGTTGGGACTGCACCGGTAGAAGAAGAGTCGCAAGTTGCGTTCACCACTTCTTGTATGGGTGGTGAAGTGAAGCAGTGGGTTCTCGCGGAGGCGAATGCCACGGGGTTTGACGATATAGGTGAGTGGGCGATGACTATGACCTTGAAGTAGTTCCTTGCAAAGGTCAAGGACCGCTTCTTGGACAAGACCACGGTCGATAAGGCCTTCGACCAACTCACCTCGATAGGACAGAAGTCCTGGTCTTCCATTGAGTCGTTGTCTCGTGAGGTGGACCGCCTGTTGCAGGTTCCTGGTCTTAACCTGCAGGACTCTCACGTCCTTTATATCTACTCCCGCGCGTTGCCCGAACCGATACGAGGGCACTTGGTCGCCGAGGCCAAGTCAGGTAAGTATACCTACCGCCAGTTCCGCGACCTTGCATTGCAGCGGGAACAAATGACTTCGCAAGTCAAAGGTTCCTATGTGATGCTGCCGTAAAGAATGGAGGAGGAGGCGGTCGAGGAGGCTACGGCAAGCGGGTCATATGTCGTCAAAAGCACCAAGACCACACCCTCGTCGTATTCGACGACGATACAATGGAGAAATGGCCATTGGAGTCTGAGGGTGGTGGTGAGAGCAACAGTGACTCCGGAAAGGGGGAGATCACCGCTGCGACGGTCAACAAGGGAGGACCGTCATCGAACACTCGACCGAAGGGAAGACCACGCTCCTTCCCATACCATCCTGGGATTGCGGCCGGCAAACCGTGGCTGAAGATGGGACTAACCCGGGAGGTGTGGCAAGATAGAATGGATAATGCGCAGTGCCTCAAATGTGGCACTGCGGGGCATGTCATTGCCTTTTGTCCGTTGATTAGGAATTCAAAAGGTAGCAGCCCGTAGGAATAACATCTGTTCTTACAGAGTCGGAGAGTGCGATCACATGCAAGGCGCCTACGATCCCTTTCCACACTCCGACTCCCGTAGCAGAGGATGGAAACCCTTCCGCCCGTCGTTCAGATATCCCCACTCCTGTCTTATGTCTGTCTCTGGACGACTCCCTTGACGAGCTGGGTAGCGAGCTAGTCGCGTTACGCAGTTCGTGGGCAAAGAAAGCCAAGTCTAAAGGGGA